TTTGGGACTCTGTGAGCTTCCTGGACTTCCTGGAAGTCTATTTCCTGTGCCAGATTGGGGAAGTTCTCCTTCATTATGTTTTCAAATAGGTTTTCAATTTCTTCCTCTTCCTCTTCTCCTTCTGACACCCCTATGATTCTGATGTTGGAACGTTTAAAGTTGTCCTGGAGGTTCCTATGCCTCTCCTCATTTTTTTGAATTCCTGTTTCTTCATTCTGTTCTGGTTGAATGTTTCTCATTTTCCTTTATTTCACTTAGCATAGCCTTCATTTTTCCTTCTAATTTGCAACCATATTCAACCAATTCTGTGAGCATCCTGATTACCAGTGTTTTGAACTCTTCATCTGATAGGCTGGCTATCTCTTCATGGCTTAGTTGTATTTTTTCTGGAGCTTTGATCCGTTCTTTCATTTGGCCCATATTTTTGTCTCGGCACACCTGTTACATAGTAAGGGGTGGAGCCTTAGGTGTTTGCCAGGGTGGGGCAACCCATGTTGCCACTTCCCACAGACAAAGTGGGCCCTTCTGGTGCTGATTCCCAAGTGGGTGGGCTTGTGTACGTTCTAACACCCTGTGGGTCTCTCCAACGAGCTCTCCTGTGAGGTTGGGAGTTTCTCCCGCTGCCGCCTCAACCCCCACAGGTTTTCACTCAGAGGATTTGAGGCTTTATTTCCCCACGCTGGGACCCTGGGTTGTGGTCTATCTTGCTCCCCAGTTGTTCATCCTGGTTTATCTGCATGAGAATGTGGGACCGCCCAGTCCTCCAGCTGCCACCTGGTGGAGTCCTCTCTGCCCGGCTGCCCAATCCCGCCACTCCTACCCATCTGGGTGTTTCTTCTTTAACTCTTTGGTTGTGGGACTTCCATATAGTTCAGTTTTCTGGCAGTTCTGGTGGTTATTTTGTTTTTAAATTGTTGTCCTTTTGGTTGTGCGAGGAGGCACAGTGTGTCTACCTATGCCTCCATCTTGGCTGGAAGTCTATTCTAAGAGATTTTCAACTGGTGTATTGCAAGAATTTTTAAAACATGTAATGCCTGACTATTTAGTCAGGGACACTGACCTCTTTTCCTTTAGATTGTCAAATTAAAAAAATGACAACAGCAGCTGTCTGGTGTGAATGAATCAAAATTGTATCTATTTTTTTGTCAGATTGGCAAAAAGTATATTTTTGGTGTGCTACAGAATTTTAGTAATTACTTTTTGCGTGCCATGAAATTAAAAAGATAGAAAATTGCTGTTTTAACTAGATTGTTTTTTGTTGAATTTTGAGAGTTCTTTATATATCTGAGTTATGAGTCCTTTGTCAGATATGTGACTTGCACATTGTTTTTAAAAATTTTAAAAGACTTTATTTATTTTCAGAGAGAGGAGAAAGGAAGGAGAAAGAAAGGAAGAGACACATCAATGTGTGGTTGCCTCTCACACGCCCCTCCACTGCAGACCTGGCCCACAACCCAGGCATGTGCCCTGACAGGGAATCAAACCTGTGACTTTACATTTGGCAGGCCAGCACTCAACCCACTGAGCCACACCAGCCAGGCAGTGGTGCTTTTTTTTCAAGTTTTAAAATTTTTATTGAATTTATTGGGGATGACATTGGTTAATAAAATCACATAGGTTCCAGGTGTACAATGCTATATCATCGGTATATTGTATTGTGTGTTCACCCCCCAAGGCAAGTCTCCCTCCTACACCATTTATCCCCCTGTTACCCTCTTCTACCTCCTCCCAACTTCCTTCCCTTCTGTATGATCCATGTTGCATTCATTTTTGTACCAAGTGTGAGGTTTAGGTCAATTCTTTTTTTTTTCTTTCCTTTTTTTTTTTTTTTTTTTTTTGCTTATTGAAGTCCAATTACTCCAGTATTGTTTGTTGGGAGGAAAGACTTCACAACCGTTCACAGACCAGGTGGCCGTTCTCTCGCAAGTCTGTTTCTGGGCTCTTCACCCCGTCCCACTGCTCTACTTGCCGATTCCTCCGCCCACACTCGGATTGAGGCAGTGCTACGGTAAGTCTGAAATCAAGTAGAGTGATTTTTGTACTTTTTCCTGTTTTTCAAAATTGTCTTAGCTACTCTGGGATCTTTGCCTTTTTATATAAATTTGTCTGTATCTCAAAAAGAAATCCCACTTTACTGGAATTTTGATAGGAATTGCATTAAACCTACAGGTCAGTGTGGGAAGAAATGACATCTTTGCTATGCTGAGTCATATCTTCCTGTCAAAGAATTTGTTTCTTTGACATATTTCTTCATTTATGTAGGTGTTTGTTTTCTTTCATCAGTGTTTTGGAGTTTTCAACATATAGTTTCCTCTATGGTTTCACTTTCTGTGGTTTTAGTTATCTATTGATCAACTGCAGCCCAAAAATAGGAAATGGAAAGTTCAGAAATATACAATTTATAAGTTTTAAATTGCTACCTGTAGTCCTGGCTGGTGCAGCTCAGTGGATTGAGTGCTGGCCTATGAACCAAAGGGTCACCGGTTCCATTCCCAGGCAGGGCACATGCCTGGGTTGTGGACCAGGTCCGCAGTGGAGGGGCACGTGTGAGGCAACCACACATTGATGTGTCTCTCCCTCTCTTTCTCCCTCCCTTTCCCTCTCTCAAAAAGCAAATAAAATAAAATCTTAAAAGAAAATTGCTAGCCATTCTGAGTAGCATGATAAAATCTCTTGCCATTCTGCTCCGCCCACCCTCTGTCCTGCCTGGGCTGTGACTCACCCCTTTGTCTGTCACAGCCACGATGTGTGTGCTCGCCACCCAGTAGTCACTGAGTAGCCTTCTCAGTTATTGTTAGACTGTTGTGGTATCTCAGTGCTTGTGTTCAAGTCACCCTATTTTGCTTAAGAACAGCCCCAAAGCACAAGAGCAGTGATGCCTGCAATTTGGTTATGCAAAGGGGAGCCATAAAGTGTATGTATGCATAAAAAACCACAGCATAATCCTGGCTGGTGTAGCTCAGTGGATGGAGTGCAGGCCTATGAACCACAGGGTCACAGGTTTGATCCCCAGGCAGGGCACATGCCTGGGTTCCTGGCCAGGTCCCCAGTGGGGGGTGCATGAGAGGCAGCCACACATTGATGTTTCTCTCCTTTTCTTCCGTCCCCTCTCTCTAAAAATAAATAAAATCTTTAAAACAAAACAAGACAAAAAAGTCTCCACAGCCTATGTAAGGTTCAGTACTGTCATTTCAGGAAGGTACTGAGGGATCTGCGGGTGTATCCTCTGTAGATAAGAGGGGACTGCTGTACAAGTCTTGTAGCATTGTGTTAGGTTTATACATGCTTCATTTCTCATTTAAATGATTCCAAATGGGGGCATTGTTTTCAATTTCAATTTCTTTGTGTTCATTGTTAGTATATAGGAGAAATACAATTAATTTTGGTAAATTGACCTTGTGTCCTATGACCTGATGAACTCATGTAGTTCTAGGAATGTTTTTATCTGTAGATTCCTTGGGATTTTCTACATAGATTTTCATCAAATCATCTACAAGGAGGGAGTTTTATGTCTTCCTTTTCTGTCTGTAGGCCTCACTTTATTTCCCTTTTCTTGTTCTATTGTGCTGGCTAGGACTGGGGAGAATGGACACCCTTGGTTGTCCTGACCTCGGGGGTGGGGAGCATTGTCTTTCACCCCGTGAAGTACAATGGTGGCTCTTGGGTTTTTTGTAGATGATCTTTATTAAGTTGAGGAAGTCACCCCCTACTGCTGGCTTGCTGAGTTTTTATTATGAATACATTTGGACAATCTTATTTTGCATCCATTGATATGACCCTGTGATTTTCCTTTCCCAGGATTCTTTTCAGTATTTCTTGAAATACTGTAAAAGGTTTAGAGTTCCTCACCTGACAATTTTCTCAAACCAGGACCCACTGGTCTGATCCCTGTCGCCCAGTGAGCCCCATGGAATGTGACTTGAGCCCTACATGTGGCCCAAGGGACCCGCTGCCCACAGTACGTACCTGCTCCCAGAGACTCACATCACACGCCTGCAGAGCCAAGGCTCAGAAAAGCCTGCCACTCGGGCTCCTGTAACCTTTCACACGGGGTCCCCGAGCTTGGTTGATCAGAGAGCCCTTTTGTTTGCACAAACTCCGCCACGCTCCCACAGGACTGCCTCGGAAACACACTTAGGGAATCACGCATCAGATTCTGTCCCCAAAGCCTGGATGAGAAGGGCCCTGACCAGGGTTACCGAGTGGCAGCACAGACACCAAGCCCCAGGAGTTTGGGCCCCCGCCCACGTGGCTTCCTGCGGCACTCCAGACCACCTGGGTATGGGGATACCACAGCATGGCCATCAGGGCCCCTTGGTGGTTCCCAGGTCCTTCGTCCCTACGTGGGCCCCAGGCCATGCATGCTCAGGCGGGCCAGGTCAGGGCAGGTGGGTGTCTCACACAGGCCGGGCCGTCACGTGGGCGTTGCAGCTCTTTAAAGGTTGCGAGGGTCCACGGGCAGGCATACAACTCAAGTTGGTGTGACCAGACTCCACCCCAGAAGTTGTTAGAATTCCTAGGATAAATGGGTCTCCATGCAGATCCCACAAAGCAACAGAAAACTGAGCTAGAGCTACCAAGAAGCATGATGCGGAAAGAGCGCCTTTGAAACAAAAGTTGTAAGACGCAAGGACCTTGCTCCTGCAACGTTAGAAGAGCCTACTTCCACAGCTTAAAGGATAGGACCCCAGTAAGTGACCCTTTCCTCAAACTAGTTAAAAGGAATCTTGCCACTTGGTAACAGACTCTTGCCTCATCTGTGTGACAGGCAGTTACCATTAACCTGTGGGGCAGACCATCTCCATCAGAGGGACCCCCCCATTTCCATGGCAGAGGACCTCTGCCACCTTCTCCGCTCAGCTCACCCTGCCCCCACCCCCTCACCTGGACCCTCCTGCCCCAGCCCCTCTCAGGTGGATCCCCACTCCCATGCAGGTGGACACCCATGCCCCCAGCCCCCACCAAAAGAACACAGGCAGCAAAAGGCAGCTTCAGCAATACTCGATATACATCATACATTTATTAGTGAATATCCCTCTGAAATCAGCAACAATATTAAAAAAAATAATGATTGCACTACTTGGTCAAGCAGAACTAGCAACTTTCATTTTAAAAAAAGTACAAATCTGTTAAAAATTTCAATCAGTATACACATATATATATAATACAACATACTAGTCATGTTAAATGCTACAAACCAATGTGAATCCAATGGAATGGAAAAAACCACACATTTAAGCTTTAAGAACAATTTTTTTCTCTATATATTAGCATTTTTCTCAAATACATACATGGGAAGAATGAGGTAACTGTAAAATGTGCAAGGAACAGGGCCCCCAAAGTACATATATTTCTATATATATATATGCAGTTACATATATATAGAACGCCTCTCTAACACAGAACACAGGTGCCGGGCCCAGCCGGGCTGGGGATGCTGCCCACGGCCATGCCCAGGCCAGAAGCTGGGAGTGAGAGTAAACATCAGCAAGCCCCCACCACAGGAAATCATTGGTAACATGGCATCTATAGCAAGGTCGGCAAATCACAAACATCCTAAATAATTGTTTTATAAATCTTTTGTAACTGATTTTTTAAAATGTTGTGTCCCCCTGTCCCCGCCACAGGTGCTCCTTGGGACCCTGGGGCAGCCAGCACAATCTGAGAGCCCACCTCGCCTGGGGACTGGAGGGGTCTTGAAACCTATTGCCAGGGTGAGGAAGGGTGGGTCGGAGAGGGTGGTTCTCTGTGTAAAACACGTGGGGTTTCGACACTGCTATAAATATAGAAACATCACCTGGAGTTATATACAGTAAGACTTTGGGTTCTCCACGGGGGTGGGGCCAGGCTGATGGGGCCCCATGGCAGGCTGGGGGAGGTGGGGCCGGGGCCGCTGCGGAGGAACGAGGGTGGTTGGAGCATCCCTGAGGCAGCAGGCGCCAGGGGCTGCCTGCTAGGATGTGCCGGCCCCACACGCGGTTCGTTCAGGGCAGCAACCCCAGCGGGGAGTAGGGCAGGAAAGAACCAGGAGGGCAAGGGAAGGGAGCTCAGCCAGACCCTGACAGGGCCTCCTCCAGACCTTGGGGGGCAGGGCTCAGGCTGGGAGGGGGCCCTGTCCTCCTGGGACTTCCTTGGAGGAGACTCGCCCAGGTGGGAGACGGGCCCTGGCTGGAGGGAGAAATGCCCTGAAAAGCATACGGTCCCGGTAGGCTCGGGGGACGTGTGCAGTACAGTGCATGGCAGTTATCAGCTGAGCACAGACCCCCGACTCTGCCTGTGACCGCTAGCCGCCGGCCCAGCCCCCAGCCGTGCATGTGGACTGGGCAGCACCAGCGGGCCATTCCCTGCCTCCTGGGCACTCAGTCCTAGGTGGTCCCTAAACCGCCCATTTAACAAAAAGGAAACATTGTTTAAAAATCCACACCCCCAAATCCTACACGTGATTCTGGGCCAAATGAATAAAAGAAAGCTGCTACTCCTCATATTCATGCAAAATGACAGAAAGGGGACACTGGACGTGGGGTCTGGCCCCTGTCACTGCCAGAGAGGAGTGGCCACCAGGACACAGGTCACTCCCCCTGGTCTGGCCAAGGCCCCTCAGGATACCTGCCGCCCAGGCTCAGGGCCCTCCAGCCTGGGGTGGGGCTGGAATGTTGTGCCTGGGGCGAGGGGCCTCTAGGGAGCCCGGCCCACCCCTCCCAGCCAGCTGGGTAGGACTGTCTGACGGGGTCAAGGCCGGAGGACCAAGGCCTGCGGGTCAGAACAGCCTCATGCCACTGTCTTTGCCTGTCAGTGCCACCTGGGAAGAGGGCACGCTGTTTCAGTGCAAGAGACCGAGTAACCCAGGATGGTGCCTCTTTGCCCATCCTGGGGCCAGGGGTCTCTACCAGCTAGACTGGGGGAACAGACCCCTGGCTCCCAGAGCTGTCAGGAGGAGGAGCTGGACCCGAGGGCAAATGGGAAGGAGACTGAGTTAGGGGCCCTCAGGCAGCTCCATGGTGGGCAGACCGGCAGGCAGACTGGGGATGGAGTCTTTGGAGCTTGGCAAACGCAGGGGCTTATTGCAGAGCTGACCCCGGCACCAGCTCTGGAGATATAGGTGGGAACAATGAGACAGGCTTGGGCCACTCCCTCCCAACCCTCCCTGGGTTCCCCGAGTTTCCAGAGCTTCAGGCAGGGTTCTCACAGGCAGCCGTGGGCTTCACTCGGCCTCCCTGGGCACTTCAGAGGCGTCGGCCCGGCAAATGGGACACGTCCGGTTGGCCTGTGGGGGAGGGAACAGCTGCACATCAGACCCCACTCATGCCCGCCCCCTATCCCACCTGGGTCTTTTCTACTGCCTGGTGGGGACGTGGCCCCGAGTCTGGCCCTCCCCCCCTCAGGACAGGAGGAGTGTCCGGGAGTGGCTGGGGGCTGCATCACCTTCAGCCACTTGTCGACACACTTGGTGTGGAACTCATGGTTGCAGGGGAGGACTCGGAGCAGCTGCCGCGCCTCAAAGTCACTGAAGCAGACCACACACCTGGGGGGAGGGCAGAGAGCATCACCTGCACGCTGCCTGCCGCTAGGGGCAGGCTCGCGGCAGAGCACCAGGCCCCGCTCACAGAGGCAGGAGGCGGGCCCAGCACTCACAGTGTCTGCTCAGACTGCCGGCTGTCCGGGTTAAAGCGGTAGGCCGGGAGCTGCTCTATGTCTGCTTTGGCAAGTCCTCGAGGCTTGGCGTCCCCCAGCCGCTCCGCCAGGCTCAGGAGGGCCTGCGTAGGGGCAGAAGGGGGGAGGGGTCAGCGGTGGCCTGGGCTGGAGGTCCCAAGACACCACCTCCCAGAATGGGGTTCCGTGGCACCTCATAGTTCTCCATCTCCACGTCATCCACGTCAAGATCCAGGCTGATGGTGGGTCCCACTGCCGTTGGTGACATTGGCAGCATTGAGCTAGGGGAGAAAGGTACAGGGGACCACGGTCAAGTCCAGTAGGCAATGGGGCACAGTGTCTGCCCCAGGACGTGGCAGGAGGAGAGAGCCCAGCTGGTATGTGTGCGCGCGAGCACATGTGCATGGTCTGCTGGAATGCCAGATGGCCCGAGAGGCCCGGATGCCACCAGCTACGTGGGGGGTCGGGGGGGTCTCACCACTGGAGGCCCCAGGAGAACACAGCACCAGGGTCTGGGACAGATGTGTCGGTACTCACAGGAAGTAGGGCAGGAAGCTGGGGTAATATGGTGGCGGTGGCGGCGGCGGCGGTGGGGGCGGCAGCGGCTGTTGCAGGCGGTATCTCTGGGTGCTCAGTCTCCGTGGCACCATGTGGGAATAGGGCTGTGACAGGGGCAGTGGTGAGCCAGTGGGCCCGGCTCCCATCGCCCCAGAGCCCAGGAGGGGGCACTCACCACTCCGAAGGACAGCTCTTGGTGCAGCGGGTCGTGGGGCAGGTAGTGCAGGGGCACGGACGGGGACAGGGCCGGGCCCGGGGCGGAGGTGGAGTAGGTGAAGCTCCCCAGGGGGTACTGATCCCCCCGGAGGTCCATGTCACTGTCCAGCCGCTGCAGGGGCTGGGAGAGGCAGGGGTGGGTCAGCAGGAGTCAGTCACAGGGAAGGCCCTGCCCCCCAGGCCGTCTCCTCTGGTGTCAGCCCCATCGCCCAGACTCACCATCCGTGGGTGCTGGGTCTGCAGCGATATGAACTGCCCCAGAGGCGCCATGTGGGTGGGCTGGGGGTGTGGGGCTGGCGGTGGGGGGTGCAGGATGTAGTGGTCACTGGAGATGAGGTGGGGGTAGGCCTGATAGGGCACAGGGAGCTGCTGCATGGTGCACGCCTGGATCAGCTGCCAAGAGAGGGGGCAGGGGCTGGAGAAGGTTCTTCTGGGCTGGACCTGTGCTTGTGACCAGGGCTGGGGCCAGCCCATTTAGCAACAGACCCTGCTGAGGCCCCCTGGAGCAACCACCCCATCCCTAGCCTAGGCCACCCAGGCAGGACGCTTAACACTCTGCAAGGCCCGCTGGTGCCACCCCAAACGGGCTCTGTTGGGAGGCTGGGTGCAGCACGCTGGCTCTCTGCCAGCATGGATGGATGTGGTAAGCTTGGTGGTTCCGCCACGGCCTGTGCTGGGTCTTCTCATGGGGAGGAGCGGGGTGGGGGTAGGGCAGAGGCCCTCACTTACCGGGGGTGGGAGGCAGCAGAGCGGGTAGTGCTGCCCGCTGAACATCACGGAGCATGCTGGGAGCTGTTGGGCGCTGCAGCCAGGGATGTGCTGGCCTGAAGGCAAGGGGAAGCCTTGGGTCGTCACTGTGGTAACTGTGTAGGACAGAGGGACGGCTCCCTGGTGCACCTGTGGGCAGAGAAGGGCCAGGAGTTGCGGAGAGGAAGCCTGGCCGTGAGGCTGCCCCCCCACCCCCCCGCCGACGTGACAAAGTCCTGCCTGGCTACCTCCCTCCCTGCTCTAGCTGGGGACTACCTGGGTGAAGACCCGGCTGTTCCTCTGCCCCACTCCCTGAAGGGCAGAGGACCCTCGGGGAACCTGAGCAGGGTTGCCAGCTCTACCACTCATCCACTGCACAGCCCCAGGGTGGCCCTTTCCTTCTCTGGGCCTCAGTTTACCAACCTATGAAGCAGGGCTGATCATGGCTCCCTGAACACACAAGCTAAGGAGAAGCCAGGGCCCTGACCCCTCTGCTCCACAGACAGGCTCACCAGAGCCTGGGGGTGGGGGGGCGTGCTGCCTACCTGCTCGTGGATGTCGACCATGAACGGGGGGCTCTGCTGGGAAGCTGAGTGCAGCATTCGGGGGCTCCCGCCGGCAGGAGCCGAGGCTCGGTGCTCTTCTACGGGGAGGAGTGGTGGTCGGGGCGGCGGCTGCTGGGAGGGTAAGTGCTCATCCTGGGCAGGCGGGCGGCCCTCATGGCCAGGGCTGCACCACAGAGAGGAGGCCCAGGTAGGACTAAGGGGGGCCATTCACTCACAGGCATGGAGGGAAGCCGAGGTCACCACCCACTGGGGAGGGAAGAAGGGTCAGGGCCCTGTGCCCCGCCGTCCCGAGCCCCAGGAGGTTCCTTCCTACCTTCCCCAGAGCCGGGCTGGGGAGCTGCCAGGTCCCGCAGACAATCGCCGCTGACCCACAGGGGTGGAGGGGGGCCACCTAGTCACTGCCAGAGCCCATGGTCGCATCAGGGGTAGCAGAGAGGTGGAGGGGCTGGGCCAGGGCTCACAACCCTGTAAGTCAAAATGACAGAGAAACTAAGACTCAGAGAAGTCCGGTCACTTGCCCCATGGGGGTCCGAGAGACAGAAGCAAACTCCTGCAGTCTGACTCCTGGGTCACTGATGCGCCCCCACCCCTGTGCTCCCCATGCCTGCACACAGGCTCGCTGGGTCCCTGGGTCCGGCCCTCTTCCTGGCACTGGGCTCAGGAGTGAGCCCAGGGACAGGCTTGGCCTGCAGGGGGCCCAGGCCGCAGTCCTCCGCTCTGTAAAACAGGATCAAGTTCCTTAGGGCTGTGCTAGTTTCAGAGGGCTGGCCAGCACGCTTCCGAGCCAGGTGGCCCTGGTAAGGCTCCTCCAGTGTGGGCACCCGGGGTACGCTCGGGTGTGGGGTCTCAGCGCTGGCCTTCAGGTGGGTAGGGGACTCTAGCTTCCTCCCTTCCATCTGGTTGACTCAGGGGGATTGCAATCAGGCTTAGGCTCGGTTTTCCTTCCTCTGTTGCCATGTGAGAGGTTCTGACCCAGTTCCTGTCCTTGGGGATGCCCAGTCCAAGGCAAGGCTGCCCCTAGTGAGAAAGTCCTGCTGGGCCACCTCCCTCCCTTCTCTAGCTAGGGGTCTACCCAGGTACGGACCTGGCTGTACCTTTGTTTCTTTCCATAACCTAGTCCCACAGTGCCTGTCCACGTGTGACTTCACCTAGTCTTCAAAGGTTTTGTTGGCTCCATTTTACAGATGAGAAACTGAGGCTCAGACAGAGGAAGGGAATTGCTCAAGTGTCAAAACTGGGAGGGGGGCTAACCACAAGCCTCTGGCTGCATGACGGGAGGGGTCTAGCCCAAGGGCTTCCCAGGAGGTGGCGAAGGAAGCCAGCCACCCTGGTTGGTCAGACAGGTCTGGAAGGGGGCCAGGAACTTGCTCTGGGGGCCCCACACAGCTCCCAAGTGGGAGGTGGAGCTTGCTGGGAAAAAAAAAAAAAGGGGAAGCCAGGACCTAAGGGAGGAAGCTGAGTGGGAATGGGGTGTGGCAGGTTTTCTCCCTCCCTGGGAGCTGGGGCAAGTTGGAGGTAGCACTCATTACCTTAAGTTGGGAGGAGGCCCCAGCAAGGAAAGCTCTGGAACCTGTTGGGCCCTGCACAGCTGTTGCTGTTCCTGCCAGAGGGAGGCCCCCCACCACCCCTTCCCCTCTGACAGAACTCCTGTGCCTCCCTGCCCTCCAGCTGTGGGTGTCGCTTCCCTAGTGATACAGCCTGGAGGCAGCTGTACGTTCCCTCAGCACCTTGTTCCTTCCTGCCAACCGGGGCAAAGACACTTCCTTTGCACTCCACGTTCAAGCCTGGGCTGACTCTCCAAACGAATCGGCAAGGAAGGTTCTTCTCCAACTGTCAGGGAGGCCCCAGCCGGGAAGTGGGGGCTGGGAGTACACCTCTCCTGCCCAGCTCGCTTGTCAGAGGGGTGGGGGGCCCACTGACCAGCTTGTGTCTGGCACAGGCCAGGCCTGGTGTGGGGATGCACATCACACAGGGCCAAGGCCAAAGGCCAGTCTGGTATAGTGGAGCTGGGGCCAGCGATTTAAACCTGGGAGACCACATACAGACCTGCCTTTGGAGGGGTGGGGGGCAGGGAATCTGGTCCCATGGGACCTTATTTCTGCTCCCCCCCGCCCCCAGCATGAGCCACCCCAGGACCATTCACCCACCACAGGTGACTAGGTGTGTGATCCCTGCTGTGAGCCAAGTGCACATCTTTACATATGCGTGTATGCACACAGCCTCCCTGATGCCTGGCTGACAATTCAGCCTAGCAAACACAGGCCAAGAGAGACTCAGAGGTGATACTGGAGGCCCCCAGCCAACCCCAGACCTCCTGGATCAGAATCTTTACAGTAAGGCTGGGAAACAAGGGCACCTAGACTTTTACCCAATTCTCCAGCAGCTTCTATAGCCGGGCTAGGTTTGGGAACCTCCACTCTAACTGACCTCAGAGCTCCTGGGAACCCATAGTCCTACTGATGAGGAATATTAATAGCTGTGGTGCCTCCCACGAGCCGTCTCGATGAGACCTCATAGCCATGCTCGGAAGCAGGGGCAGTGTGGCTCACAGCCAGGCAGTCTTGCTGAAGTCTGGGCGGCATCAAGACGTAGGCATGCGGACTCCACAGAGGCCCAGGCCCGTGGGAATCTGCTCTGAGGCCAGCCCCTCAAAGACACCCCCCCGCAGGAACAAGAAGAAGCCAAGTTGCTGAGAACCCAAACCAGCAGACAGAAGAGGCTCCAGCTGTGGACAACAGTGCCAAAGGTGGCAGTGTTGGTTCTTGCATTCTCACACAGGACACCCTGATTTCTGGCCAGAGTCTTGGGCACATCACTTCCCCTCTCTGAGCCTCAGCTTCTTCATTGTAAAGCGGGAGCAGAGCAGTGGCCACTCCCAGCACACTGGCAAGGGCTGCTCACAGGACTGGGGAGGAGGGGTCTGCAAGTCTTAGGTGTGAGCGGCCATTGTCAGATAGTTAGAGGCTCACCTTCACCCCCATCCTCCGAGCAGAAATCAGGGGCCACTTCAAGCTCTGCAGGCAGTGGCTGGGATATATGCCTCCCTAGGGGAGCATCCCAGCTGGCAAGAAAGGGGCCCCTGGTTCCCGAAGTCCTACCAGGGATGGAGATATCAGAGGAGACACACCCACTTCACAGTTGAGGAAACTGAGACCCAAAGAAAGGAAGTAACCTTCTCTAGGCCATAAACCCAGAGAGGGACAAAACTGGCCCTGGCTGGCCCCTTGGGCCCAGATTCCCCCAACCCCTGCCTCACTCACTAGCATCAGGAACCCTAAGAACTGCCTAATTCCAACTCTGTTCCAGGCCCTAAAGGAGATCAGGGGAGCACTCTTGAAGGTGCCTGCAACTTGCTCTACTGTGGAGAGAAAGCAAGGGAGGCTCAGAGTTAGACCTAGTAGCTGGCTCAAGGTCAAACTGCCCTAACCGCTCTGCCTTTCCACACTCGTGTGTGCTGTGCTCTCACTGAAGTCCCAACCCTAAATCCAATCTTACTTGGAAGCAGGCACCGGCCCTTGCACCCATGCCCTCCCCGCAGGAGGCAGCCACCTCCCTACTTCAAGTGCCCCAGCAGCCACCCCATCTGGGTCTAAGGAACCCCTTTCAAGTCATGTCAGGTGGCCTCAGGTGCTGTTTTGCAGATAAGCAAAGTAAGTCTGAGAGCATGAACAGACTAAACAGGATGAGAAGCCCCTTTCTTCTCTCCCCTCATCCCCCAAAAGAGGCAGGCCAGGACAGCCAGACTTGAGACTAGGAGTTCTTGCTTGGCCAGCCCAGACTCCCTGGGTGACCTTGCTCAAGGAAATCTCTTCAGTTTTGAGTCTCAGTCGCCACTACTGTAAAATGGGGATGGAAATCTCTCCTTCCCAGAGCACCCAAATGAAACCAGAGGACCCGAGATGCAAGACTCCCAAGTGGTTGCACTAGTGGGGCAGCGAACCAGTGTCCCTGAGGGGCAGGCCCCTCCTCAATGTGAGCCAGGTACAGGTTGCAGGGCTCTGGGAAGCTTCCTCAGCTACCTCTCCCAGGGAATAGATTGCCAGGGTGTGGACACCGCCCAGAGAGGGGCCTCTCTCGTCCCCATCTCACTCCTTTGTGTCGCCTTTGGAGGGACCAGGGAGCGGGAGGCCAGACTGCGGCGTCTGAGCGTGAGCGCTGTGACTTTAAGAGTCGAGGATCGCGGACCATGTGCTCGGCGTGAGACAAAAGCAACAACAAAGGAAGTGGCGGCGGCAGGGGGAGGGGGCAGCTCCTTCCTCTTCAACTGCAGCTCCCAGACTCTGTAGCCGGGGGACTTGTCCAGGCCTCTGGGGTCGCTGGGATTGGGGGTGTCTCTGATCCTATAGGTCTCACCACCCCCGCCGGACTTCCCGTGATTAACCCCTGCGGAGCCAGCTCTATCACAGCCCCTAGTCCCAAGGGAGGGGGGCAGCAGTTTCCAGGGATGCGGAAATCAGGAGTTGGGGGTTCTGGCCCTGACTCACCTTCAGCCGCCTGGATACACGTTGATTCCTTTGTTCCCGATCTAGGGCGGCCAAGCTGGGCAAGGGGGCGGTGGTGGTGTTGGGGGGCTGCCTGGACCCTTTAAGAGCCCCCGCCCAGCGGAACAATATGCTCTCCTTCCCACCCCCTGGTCCGCGGGCAGTCCAGCTCCTTCCGGGGCCCTCTCTCTTTGTTGTCTGTCCGCCGGCGTCCGCCTCCCGAGGCCCACGCGCGCTAAGCCTGCCTTGGCCCAGGCTCTCCGGGAGCCGGAGGCGGCGCGGACGGGTTTGCGCAGCTGCCCGCGGCTGGCCCTTTAAGAACTGTCCGCCGCGCCAGCGGAATGTAACAAACCCGACATTTGATTCACAACATTGGAAGCGACGGGGTCGCGCGTAGGGTGGGAGGGGGGCCTCGCGGGAGCGCGCTAGGAGGTTCCGACAAACAGTAGCAGACAGCTGCTGGCGGAGCCCCGCCCCGCTGGGGCCCCAAGAGCCAATCATTCGCTGCGGCTAGGCACGTGACTAGTGACCCGCCATTTTGGAAGGCAGATTGAAAAAAAAAAACTCGCCCACCACTTTCACACTTAAAGTGACCGCAGCCATCACAGGCAAGGGGCGGGGCCACACGGTCTGACCTAAAGATGGGAGACTCGGTGGTGAGAAAAACCAGTCAGCTGCAGTTCGAACTTTCTAAGCAAACTCGCGAGCCACTCGCCCCTCTGAGGCTCAGTTTCCCTGCCAGAAAAATGGATCCCGCCAAGAGAACCACATCCTGGACTTACTGTATCATGGTTCCCTCCCGGAGGCAGGGCGCCACCTGGGACACTGAACTGCAATGGGGTCAATCTTCACTCAAGATGGGGGGGGGTCCTTTTAGGCTAGCCCGAGTGGTTACTCAAGCTCTAACAGCCCTGTACCCGCAACCTCCCCAGAGATGACGTCAGCCCCAAAACTCGATGACATCATGGTCTGGCTGCCTTGTATCTCCTTATTTATACTGCCCAGCAGCTTTAAAAAGCTGGGACGGCCCCCAATGCCTAAGCAACCAATAGCGGGCAATCCATGTAAATAAGTTAACGCCTAACCGGCAGGGGGATTGGCCCTGCGCATGCTAATGTCACAGAGATATTTTAATTGCCCCGCCCCCAACGTGGCCAGGAGAAGGGGCGGGTAACAATTTGAAGCTAGAGCAGCAGACGTCAGGCACTTCAGTTGCTTCTTGATTAAGGGGGAATGGGGAAGTAAGCCAGCTGCTTTAGTTTTCTACTGTACTCCCCGCACCTATCTATGAGATGGCAGGATTAGTACAACCTGCCCATTTTACAGACGGGTAAGGAGGATTCAAGAGGTATCACTTGACCCCAGGTCACACAGCCACGGAACTGTGTGGCTGTTCAAGTATTTGAACCTAAGCCAAAGCTGAGTTTTCCCCTTTGTCTGGATGCCCTCCCTGGGCAGATATACAAAGTGAAAATTAACGCCATATTGATTATTTAAGCAAAAAGATCAGTAATACCCGAAATATCCAAGAGCTGGGAAGCAGCCCAATCAAGAATGGTATATGAGCCCTGCCTGGCAGGTGTGGTTCAGTGGACTGAGTGGCCTGTGAACCAAAGAGCTGCTGCTTAGATTGCCAGTCAGGGCACATGCCTTGGGTGGCAGGCCAGGTTCCCACTTCAGGGGTGTGCAAGAGAGGCAACCTATCGCTGTATCCTTCACACATTGATGTCTCTCCCTCTCTAAAGATAAATAAAATCTTTTAAAAAAATATTGAAAGCAAGATGCTCAACAGAATATAACAGTATGTATCTATTTTTTAATTACATATATACAAAAAATATCTGCAGAATATATGTGGAAGGATATAGAGGAAACTGACAATTGTCCTCAGGGAGAACTATAAGAGACCACTGGGTCAGGAGGGTAGACCTCTTATTATACATGCTTTTGTACATTTGCTCTTAAAAACCAACCCTATACAGTATATAACCTACTGAAAAGTCTAAAGAAAATTACTGTAAAAGAGTATGCTTTTCGTTTTTTAAGCCATAAAATCTTCTGATCCTTTAGTCAGAAATCCCCCTTCAGGAAAGGTATCCAATGGAAAAACCTGTGAGTTTGGGGAACAGACATGCTTACTGAAGTGTTGTTTAGCACCATGTATGTACAGCCAGCAACACAAGGACTGATCTCTAGGCACAGATCAAATTCATGATGCGTCATTACAGATGGTACCCGGAAAGCCAGGCTCGCTCTCTCCACCACATAGTGAACACTATATGTGTATAAGAATAGATGGGGATGACACAGGTGATTGATGGCTTTTTCTAATCTTATCGACTCTCTTTTCCTATAATCCTACAGCCCACCATGCGAAAGCAATTAAGAAGTTCTCCCCATATTCCAAAATGCCTACATGTTACGACAACCCCCTGCTTGCCTGTGTAGGCACAGAACGTGCTGCCTGGCCTTCAGCTACATGCTCCTACCAAGCTTCCCCCCACAAAACTTTTCAGACTCCCCCGCCCCCCAACCGTGCTGGTGCTCCACCTGGCCTTCCCTGCCTGCCACCTTCCTGTCCAGGATGCCCTCTCCTCCTTCCTACCAAACCATTCCTCTTCTCTGCCCTTTGAGGCTCACCTCCTATCTCACCTCTTAAAGGAAGCTGCCAAGTCTCCAGCGTGAACTGAACTGCCCCATCTCTGAACTCAGCTCAAAGCACCATGACCTTCACCTCATGCCATTAACTTGCACACAGCTCTGTCACAATCCATCACTGTGTACTCCACTGTGTACTCCATTTAGGGGATTCAGAATTTTTAAGGGCACAACATCCAGCCTTCACTGGGAGGCAGATGCCACCAGTCTCATTTTAGGGGTGATGATCTAAGGGTCCAGGAGGTGAACTGACTTGCGCCAGGCCACACAGTAAGAAACCTTCCCATTCCCCAAGTCAGAAAGTGACTCTTCTGCCACAGTCCAGTTGTGTACTTTAAATTCTTTAAGCCTCTGACTGTACCATTCACTCTGCCTGGAACACCCTTAACAACCTCTACTCACCTCAGGCAAAACCCTGCCTTTGGGACTCAGCTTAAAGACTGCTTGGTCTCTGGCAGTCCACTGCTCTGATTTCCTCAACACACAGCACAACTGTCCTCACACAGCGTCAGGCAGGGACTCCCCCTGCCCTGGCTCACACGGGATGGTGGATGCCCATGGAAGGGTCTCTGGGTTTGACTCTCAGCTCTAGGCTACAGGGCCAGGAAACCCCTGCCCCGCCTTCTCTCACGCACAACCCCCTAGGGCCCTCAGGAAATCCCCACAGCACCTCCGGCTTCTCCCCAGGGCCAGAGGCCAGTAACACATCTCCCTCTAACCTGAAAAACCTTCTTGAGTGCATGTGGAATCACTCTGGAGCGAGTGGGAAGGAGGCTCAATTTTAGCAGATTTTCCAGAGAAGCCAGAAATCTGGACTTTCCTATGAAATTTCTTCAGGTTCCTGGTTGACTCTTGTGCTTTGGAACTCCACTGTAGGGATGTGGCCTGCACACTTCCTGTGAGCCGAGTTCTCATTGGCCCACCCCACCCCCTTGAAGGCCAGTTTTGCTACTTTCATCATACAGATGAGGAAGGTGGCTCAGGAAATAACACCCCTTGCCACAGGTCCCGGAAGGGTGGTCCAGTGAGTTCCAGGAACCACAGGTAGTGGGGGTTCACCCTTGCCCAGATGTCTGCCATGAGGTTATGTGGAGAAATTGGGGTTCTAGGGCCTCCTGCATGGTCTGGATAAGTTCCATCCTGATCATTGGCTCACTGGTTCTTCCAATGATCTATGAGCTAGGCACCAGCATCTGCCCCATTTTATAGATGAGGTAACTCGGGAGAGAATGGGTATCACTCAGCCACCATCATACAGCCATCAAGGGGTAAACCTGGGATCACATTCTTATCTCACATTAAGTCTGGTTCATGCCATGCAAATGTCAACCTTGGGGTCAAAACAGCCCCAAGGGCTGTTTAATGAAAGCACAGATGTCCTGGGACAGGAGAGAGACCATGGAGGATCAGAGACTAGTGGTGGCTCCAGGTGACAGGGGAAATAAGTGGCAGAGGGATCTGAATCCTGATAGCTCCAAGTGCAAAACAATGGATGCTCCTCTCCAGCCCCCACCCCCGAGTCTCCTATGTGGGAGATGGGATGCTCTTCAACAGGACAAAGGCATGGACGTCTGTTCCTGGTGGGGCCCTGTCCTGCTCCATTGGCCCACCCAAGGGCCTGGACAGCTGGCTGCCACCCTTCCTTCCTCAGGGTCAGAAAATACTACACTCCCTTCTCCTAAGACTCAAGCCCTCCAAAGAAGCGGGGCCCTGCAGTCTTGTAGGCAGACCACCCGGAGACACTCGCCCGGCCCCACAGAGCCAGCCCAGGACAGGCCTGAACAAACTGCCTTCCCATCTGAGCCTCAAGCTGACTCCCCTAAAAAGAGCAGGTGGGGGGAGGGTGGGGTACCTATAAAGGTGTTCCCAGATTTGGGGCTCAGGTCTCTGGCAGCACTCTGGCCCCACTTTGAAACTCTGGGCCAGTTGTTTGGCCTCTCTCTGCCTCATAGTCTCTTCTTTGTAAAATCAGGACACGGATAACAACACTAGCAACAGATGACATTTACTGAGCACTTAGTAGGTGCCAACAAGGAAGGAATACATTAATCTGATGATTAAATAAAGAACCACTGAAGCCAGTGTGTGACCTTCAGAAGTCACCCTCTCTGGGGCTCAGTTTGGCCAAGTGTAAAATGGGACGATAGTACCTCAGAGAGTCAACAGTGGCTCTCTCTCTTTCACTATGTGTGCATCTTTGGGGGTACCTGCCTGACTTTCCAGGTGCGGGTCTACGCTCGGATGTGGGAACTTTGCGAGTATGGCGCCGGGAGGGGCTGTCCTTTCTGACTTCCTCTTCCCTGCAGCTCTCACCACTGGCACCACGGGTCTGCAGAGCAGGCAGCAGGTAATGTCACCACATCATCCACAGATGAAAACCGAGGACTACAGGACTGCGGCGCCTAGCAGATCCAGGGAGATAAGTCCAACCAAATACTCCATTTCCCCTCCATCTTAACTTGTCTGTCCTACTCGAAAGCCAGCTTCCCACCACCCCTTTCCTGCCCACACCGCCTTCCCAACCTCCAACACCCGCTGAACTCAGGCTTAGTGGCTCTAAGGCAACGGAAGTTGTGTGACCTTGGACAGGACGAGACCCTCTCTGGCTGCCCCGCCCCGCTCCGCTCCCCACACCCCAGGCGATCCAACATCCTGAAAGCAGTTAATGACAGCTCTGGGGTGCAATGATCTCGTCCCGGACCCGCAACCACTCCAGAGTAGGGGCCAGGACGTTCTGGCTCCCCAAGGGTTGGGAAAAGGAGAGCCGGTAAAATGGAACGGACGCGACGAGGCCAAATGACCGCAGCTCTCTATCCCAGGCGCCAGGGCCCCAGCTGAAGCCCAGATCCGCCAGGGGTTACAATCGGAGCATGCGCAGTGCGCTGGGCAGGCTGAGACTTGTAGTTCCCAGGGGCTCCGCGAATGGGGC